GGGGGTATGCGTTGGAAACAGCAACACACTTACTGAATAGGGTTCCAACTAAAGCAGTGCCTAAACCTCCATATGAGATATGGAGTGGGAAGAAACCACATCTTAATTATATTAAGATTTGGGGATGTCATGCTTATGTAAAGAAGCAAGATCCCAAAAAGTTAGAGGCACGCTCAGTATTATGCAAATTTGTAGGATATCCAAGGAATTCCATTGGATATCAATTCTACCACATCGATGAACAAAAGATAATTGTTTCTCGGCATGCCACCTTCTTAGAGAAGGAATTTCTTGAAAAAGAAATTAGTGGGAGCATGGTAGAACTGGAAGAAATTTCAGATATACAAATCAATACTGATAAATTAGTAGAACCAGAAAATTCAGTTGTACCAGAAGAACCACAACCACTCCATAGATATCCAAGGCGATCTCATGCACCTAAGAGGCAATATGATTTTCTCATTGAAGGTTGCATGTTAGATCACGTCATAGAAGATGACGAACCTTTGAGTTATCAGCAAGCCTTTCAGAGTAGGGACTCTATTGCTTGGCAAGATGCAATGAAATCCGAAATAGACTCTATGTACACCAACAAAGTATGGATCTTAGACAATGCTCCTAAAGGGGTGATACCCATAGGTTGCAAATGGTTGTTTAAGAAAAAGTTGGGTGTAGATGGGAAAGTAGAAACTTTTAAAGCTAGACTGGTAGCTAAAGGTTTTCGCAAAGACCTGGTTTGGACTACGATGAAACCTTTTCTCCAGTAGCTATGCTGAAGTCTATTCGGATCCTACTTGCTATAGCTGCTCACTATAACTACGAGATCTGGCAAATGGATGTCAAAACTGCATTTCTAAATGGTGATTTAGAAGAGTGCATATATATGACACAACCAGAGGGTTTTGTAGTCAGTGGGAGCAGTGGAAAAGCATGTAGATTGCTTAAATCTATTTATGGACTGAAGCAAGCATCACGGAGATGGAACATCTGTTTTGATGATGCTATCAAAGAGTTTGGTTTCATCAAAAATCCAGATGAACCATGTGTTTATAAAAGGATAATTGGGAGTATAATATCGTTTCTTATTTTGTATGTAGACGATATACTCTTAATCGGTAATGACATACCGTCATTACAAGCGGTTAAAATTTGGCTATCAAAAAGATTTTCCATGAAAGATTTGGGTGAAGCATCCTGTATACTGGGTATTCAGATCTATAGAGATAGATCTAAAAGGATATTAGGATTGTCCCAATCTAGATACATTGGCAAAGTGCGCTCTCTAAAAAGATGTCTCCCCAGACTGATGAAGAGATGAAACGCATGAGTCTAATTCCTTATGCCTCGGCAGTAGGATCGATCATGTATGCCATGTTATGTACTAGACCGGATATCGCTTATTCACTCAGTTTGGTAAGTAGATACCAATCTAATCATGGAGAAGAGCACTGGAAAGCGGTCAAAAATATACTTAAGTACCTGAAAAGGACTAAAGAGTTATTTTTGATATATGGTAAAAGTGACCTCCAAATGGAGGCTTTTTCCGACTCTAGCTTTCAGAGCGATATAGATGATAGTAAATCTGTTTCAGGATATGTTTTTACCCTCAATAGAGGGGCTGTCAGTTGGAAAAGTTCCAAGCAGGACACAGTAGCAGACTCTACTATGGAAGCCGAATACATTGCGGCAAATGATGCAGCCAAAGAAGCTGTCTGGATGAGGAAGTTTCTTTCAGAGCTGGAAGTTGTTCCCACCATTAAAGATCCAGTACCTTTATACTGTGATAATAATGCTGCAATAGCTCTAACAAAGGAACCCCGATCTCACCATAAGTCCAGACACATTCTGAGGAAGTATCACTTGATCAGGGAGATAGTTGATCGCCGGGAGATCAAGATTGAAAGAGTAGACACAAAAGATAATATAGCAGATCCATTCACAAAGGCAATTGCTCGTTCACAATTTGAGAAACTTGTTGAGCTATTGGGTATTAGATACTACAATGATTGGCCTTAGTGCAAGTGGGAGTTTGTTAGATATAGGTGCCCTGCAGGCAATAATTGTATATTGTAACAGGACCTATATGAATATAATATCCTTGTTCAAAATAATAGTATGCTATTTTGGTCAGATTTATCTGGTAGTTTTATATTCAGATAAAGTCCTTAGAATGATACTAGACTATCAGACATTACGGATATGATCGTAATGAAGAGATCTGATTTGTCGCTAACGTATATTCTAAAATGTTCCTAGTCGATGAAGTGATGTAATGGGACATGATCACTTTGGTAAGACTAGTGTATACTTTATTTCTCCTTTGGAAGGATGATGATCCATCTCTTAGATCATTGATGTGAGACATCAAGATATAGTATACAGGTGACTCATTAGTGAATGAGTTGACTGAACGACTCACTGAGAACATCTAGTTGGTAATTATACTTAACTGTCAAATAGAAGTTCTCAAGTGATATAGTACATAGTAGTCTCATGACCTGAGGCATGAGTGCAATATCTTACATGTCAGTATAGGTGTACTTAGACTTTTACCTAACCACAGTTCTCATCGAGTTGTGCATAACGGTTCTTGTTGGGTACATCCCGAGACATAAGTAGATATTGAGATGCCAAGAAGGGATTCGTCTCTCCCAGTATAGGGGTTGATGTCATAAGATTGTTTGATATAACTATAACCTGAAAATCCTTGGCCAAGGTAAATAAGATAAACTGATTGTCAGTTTGATCTTATAGGTTATGAGTTTAATATCAATAAACACTAATCAAGCTATTAGGGTTTGACAGTTTGCCATACCCTAGGCTCAATAGTTTGACATGGTTTGACGAAGAGACCGGACTGTACGGTATTATCATTGAGTGGTCCTGATAAAATTGGATAAGCATCTTGCAGACCTTTATCACAACTTATACCCGGGTGGTCTTCATGTGTAGCTAGCACCTCTGTTGTACTTGTGGATATGATCCACTGCCGAGTTCTTAAGTTGGGCCCTAGAGTCACACCAAGCGCGTACTTGAATCCTATGAAACACAATTTATGGAGTGATGCGTATGATTGATACGCATATATGATTTCTTCCGGATACACATAAACGGTTATGTATATCGGTAAAATCGGAATGCTATGTGCTTAGGAAATGAATTCCAGTATTTTTCCCATAAAGTTAACTTTTAGTCAACTAGTTGACTTTTTGGTCAACAGTTGACTTTTGGTCAACTCTTGATTTATTTGGTCATATAGTGACTAATTAGTTAAAGATTGGAATAATACTATATACCGTATTTATGAAATACTGTATTAGTGATAATAATTTGGTATTCTCATTTATGAAATACACATACCATGTATAATGAGTCATGAGATGAGTCACTTAGTGGTATGGTTTGAGCACATGGTTTATTAGCACATGGTTTTGAAATGTAATGATTCATAAGATGATTCATTGCATGACTCACTTGATTAATCATTAATTTTTGATGATTCATTGCATGACTCATAGGATGAGTCATTCATATCATGAACACATTAAAAGTTTGAAGGCTACAGCTAGCTAGCTACTTAATTAGATTCTCATGACTAAAAATTATGAGATTTTGTCCTCCATTAGCATTACCCTTAAAAGATTAAGGATTGAATTTATCGCCATAAAAAAAGGTTGTATTTGTTAGACCCAAGACAAAAGTTTGAAGGCTACAGCTAGCTAGCTACTTAATTAGATTCTCATGACTAAAAATTATGAGATTTTGTCCTCCATTAGCATTACCCTTAAAAGATTAAGGATTGAATTTATCGCCATAAAAAAAGGTTGTATTTGTTAGACCCAAGACACTCGTGGCAGAGCTAGCAGTGGCCCATGACAGGCCCAACGTCTTGGGCCTCAGCCCAAATTATTATTTTCTTCTTTTTCTTACTTAGATTAGCCGAAATTTAGTAAGGAACCTAATGTCACGTGGCTCTTATTTCTTTGGATTTGCATGACTTTTCTTTGATCGACCTCCGAGTAGGGGTGCATTCGGTCCGGATACAACTAAGATATGATACTTATCATATCCATATCTGCTTACCCATCACGGATACAAACATACCTTAGTAAAGAAAATTCACATCCATATATGTTAAAATCGGATACGGATATATATGAGGATAAATAAGCAGATATGCATGAGGATATAAAATAACTATGAGAAAACTAGATAGTATTGAAAAAATATAGTTCATGTGATACAAAAAAGAGTTCCTTAATATATATGTTCATTATATCTGAAAAGCTAAGATTAAACATCTTGATCATCAAAATTATAATTTATAATCTAAGGATTAAAACTGTGTAGCAGTATGCCTAATATGTTTTCAGATACTAATCCGAATACACTGCAAAATCATATCCATAACCATATCATATCAGCTATACATTTGAGTAACTACATCTGTATCCTAACATATACGTTACAGATATTTCCTCAAGTACAGATATGATTTAGCACCCCTACCTCCAAGGCGTCGTTTGAGAGAATTTAAGAAAGCTGCTAGGTTAGAAACACAAAAAAGGTGAACTGTAGGGGCTCATGTGCAAAAAAAGAGCATAGAAAAAGTAGGTTAGAAACACAGTAAAGGTGAACTATAGGGGCTCATGTGCAAAAAAGAGCTTAGAAAAAATTAATTAAAAACAGAAACAACGCGCCCACCGTGGGGCTCGAACCCACGACCACAAGGTTAAGAGCCTTGCGCTCTACCAACTGAGCTAGACGGGCTTGTTGCAACGAGTATCTACAATTTTCAAAAATTAGTAATTAAGAAAGGTCTCCCCAAAAACCATCCACCGAAATTCCGCACCATCGCTTGGAAGCTGGAATGGAGACTAAAAAGGAATTTACTTAAAACTACGAACCTAATAATTCGAGAAACGCTTTCCTGTAGCTCAAATTTTTTTTTTTCCATAAAATGATCTCAGGGCCATGAAACGTTGAAACTAACTACACCATCTCAAATCTCATAGAAAATCACATCCGGTCACCCCAAACATTTCTAAAATCAAAACAAAAAGATATACAAAAAAAAAAAACTATCATTAACATCCACCTACACATGCATATCAATCATATATAGTAGCCGCAGTTGCAGCTACAAACATGTCCTCCTCACTCCCAATCCACCCACAACCCTCACAATCACACCCCTTATGCTTCTCCCTCAACTCCAGATCCCTAACCTTAATCCCCATCCTCACCAAAAGTGTCGGCGGCTTACACCCCTCCGTCACCGTCAACGGGCTCCGCATCGCAAAGCTCACCCGCTTCTCGACCAACGCGTCCTCCCAAGCAGCCTCAGCCCTCCCCAGCATCTTAGACTTCGCTTTCATGCCGAAACACGACTCGTCCCTCCTCCACCTCAGCTCGAACAAAACACCACGCTCGCGTATCGCCTTTTTCACAGGGTTCGAGGGCACGGCGCACTCCAAGGAGGACTCCTCGCCCCAGTGCGGGTCTTCGCCCGCGCTTGGAACCTCTCGGGTATCTATCCTCACCCTCCTTCCTCCTCCTACGTAAACGTAGTATCTTATGAAGAGCTTGCCCGAGGTGGGGCTCGTGTCGAGGTTTGTTAGTTTCATGATGTTCATCTCACATCGGAGTTGAGCCATGATCGATATGTTGAGAATAGTTGGCCGGTGAGGGATTGGTTGGAGAGTGAGTTTTGTGAGCGGGGGTTATTATATAGAGAGGGCCTAGAAAGTGGGTATCTTTGTGTGGGTAGAGCCAAAGGGAGAGAGTCGATCTGTGTGAACCTTTAATTAATGAGGGATATGGGATGCTTCATGGAGTGAGTCGATCGTGCGTGTGAGATTCAAAGAAGTATGATTAGTTGCGCCCTTGACAATCTCCAAAGGCCAAATATAGCCGAGGGTCGTATTAAGGGGAGGTTTCATCCAAGATGGTGGTTAATGATATTGACGTAGTTAATTTGTGTAACAAAAAGTTTGGAAGGTTGGGCTTTAATGCCCAAAGCATTTGACTTAAAATTAGGAAGTTTAAGATGGTGTGGAGTGGCAATCTAGTCATGGTTGCTATGGTTCTATGAGCCAATAACTAGGGCTCGAAGCTCAAATTGGGTTTAAGTTTGACTAGGACTAGTTGGTTATGACTTGGGTCAGTCGAGTCGTGGACTGGGGAGGTAAATGGACGCAATACGACGCAGCGCGGAAGTTGTAGCATCAGAATCCACCAAGGACAATCTTCGAATCTACGAAGATCGCTTCGAGTCCACGAAATAAATATTGAAGAAAAACGAAATTTTATTAATCAAAAGTTATGCCTCTAGGGCTTACAAGACCCTACTTAAATAGAAAAGAAATAAGACTTTTACAAGGACTCAAACTCCTACAAGGACTCTTAACTTACCAAAAATAGTAAAAGAATTCCTAAAACATTAAAACTCCTAAAAAGACTCCTTACGATAGGAAAGTCCACCGGTCAAATCTGAGATCAAATCGGCTTTGTTTCCTAATCAAAACAGACTCCTAAAGCATTACTAAAAATAGTAAAAAACGGACAAAAATACAGATATCTCTCAAACCGTAAGTGGGCATGCGACTGTCCCGCTTCGACATAAACGTGTCTGCCGTGTGTTCTACATCACAATACAGAGAACCTTTGCCGTGTAGAGCCGATGAGGATGATTATTTATTGATGTAAATATCAACCGATATACGGATAAAGGAAATTGTGACAAACAAAGAAATTAATAATTACAAAACCATTGGCCCGTCTACCTGAAAGAAACTCACAGACAGTCCACTTCCCCTTAAGAAAAAATGACTCAAGGGTTATGTCCTCATTCTTTATGTTCTCAATGATCTTATCCACATCCACAAGTCCCCTTTTACTAGTATATTGGAGACGGATCTGTTTCGTATCAAGTTATGAGATTTAAATATGTACAGCCCCTTGGGTTGGCTCTTTAGAGAGATTTGGCTCTACTTAAGAGATCTTGGGTGGATGATCCAACTCCCCTTCATTTAATCCGCATATTCATCGAATCATCATGGGCGGCTGATAAAAATGAAAAAGACATAACACGGACTTGGGCTTAACATGTGGCTAACTCTCTATCAGCGCCATAATTATTTTATACCTTAAGAAAGAGACGATTGTGTTAGCTCCTAAGCTTTGCACTAAGGAACTAAACTAGAGCAAGCAAATATACTTGTTGGGATCCTACTCCTTTACACACTTAAAAGGGATTATTATATTACGTAGAAAGCCAAATCTTTGGGTAGAAAAATATTATGTAGAAAGCCATTGGTCCTGAAATGTTGAAGTTGGAAGCGAAAGCGAATCCTTATGGTCTACTTGGGGGTCACATGCGATTACTTATGTAATACTTCCCCCTTGGGGGAATTAAATATGTTATGAAAATTGTTAATTGCATCATATTTAATATTGATGCCATGACTTTGGAGACTTGGAAGGGAAGATTATGTAAAAGATTCAGCTAACACATTTAATATTTTGCGTGTCTACTCCACAAGAAATACTAATAGCTCTCTCCGAAATACATCAATTTGGGAGATGGGGATGAGGTCGGAGAGGAGGAGGGAGAGGGAGAGGTGGGGGTCTTTGAGGCGGAGGAAGGGGAGGAGGGAGAGGAGGGGGAGGTCACGAGTGGAATGAGGTGAGGTCAGGAGTGAAATGAGGGAGAGGGAGAGGTAGTCGGTGTGGGGTCCACGAGGGAAAAGGGAGGGTGGGGAATAGGTGAGATCAGAGTGCAGTGAGGGGGTGGGGTCGTGTAAAATCATCAAATGCACGGGACTGGTAGTCCTGACCAGTCCCGTGCATTTGATTTGCTGCAAAACCGACCCTTCTCCCAAGAAAAGGGTCGTTTTTACCTATTATTTTGAAAAGTGGTCGGTTTTGCTATATAAAATTAAAAAAAAGATTCTTTTAAAAATTTGCCCTAACCAGAACTGATTCCTAGAAGTATAATTGGAAAAGAAAAATTCCCCAAGGACCCAAAATATGCGACCAATAGGGGGGACAAGTGAGGTGTCCCCCTCCTATTAGATAATGAGTTGGTCATCATTAATGATGACCAACTCATTATCCAATAAGAGGAGGACACCTCACTTGTCCCTCTTATTGGTCTCATATTATGGGTCCCTGTAGCAAAGCTCGTTGGAAAATATAGACATTCTTAGTTTCAAGCATCATTGACAAGCACATTTGAGATCACCCACTAGATAGATATATTGCATCATCAGACAATACCAAAGCGAATTTACACCAGAAACCATCAAGTTAAAAGAAAATACAACTCGTGAATTGTTCAAATGAGAAAATAATGATTAAATGAATGACAAATGGAACTCACAAGTCATAAATTTTCTTAACACAAAGGGCATTCACAGAACAACATCCCCAAAAATAATATGAACAAAATCTTACAAAACCACTGTATCCCCTCATGAACTCATCATGCAATGTTTTTATCGACACGATCACATCACCAGACAAGAAAGAAGCATTTAAATTATACAAACCAACTTCAAGCAGAGGTAAATTCATCGGTAGAGGTTCATTTCCAAACTTAACAGCACCTTTCACTTTTAGATCGAAAAACATACCTCAAACGGATTTAGAGAAACTTCAATCAGATTATTTCTACAAGTCCTCTTACAATGCAACATCTTCGCAAGTACCACAACTACTCACAATTCATCTGTTCCAAGAGTTCAAACACGATTTTAAAACAGGATTGAGTATAAAAGAAGGTAGAAGAACGTTGTTTACTAATTGAACTAATCATACAGAGTTTACAATAATGGAGTCACACATATATGTAATACGTCTATATGAAGCTAGCCAAGCACAAGTACTTGACTTACAGAAGAAAGAGAAGCAAATTATAACTTTTAAGGTTCATGATCAGAGTGTGATTTATCACTGTTTGTGAACTTTTGATCATAAAATATGTCCAAATCAAGCCATCACAATTGGTGGCAAATTGAAGGTCAAGGTTTCAGTACAAAAGGGTTATGCAGTGAAGCCTGTAAGAACAATTTACAACCAAAACTGACACAAATTAAATAAAATACAGCGAAAGGTGATAAAGGAATTAACACTGAGCTTGATGTAGGGAAGATTATTTGTAAATTGAGCATATTAATAATGTCAAATTCTTGGTGGAAAACATTGAGGACTAGGTTCCCTACTCCTGTGTCATTTTGTCTCAGAATTTCAAACATAGGATATCAAGATTTTGAGAAAAGACAATCATATTTGAACTAAGATGACAAGACAAGCATATTTGAACTAAGATGACAAGACAAGCATATTTGAACTAAGATGACAATATAATTTAGAAACATGCTAACCAATTGGCAAAGTGAGTTGAAGTACTAAAAAGAAGAAGATTGTTGATATAAATAAAGCAAGGAATCAAAACATCTCGCAATGGCCACAGAATTGAGGATGACAAAGGATGAAAATAATTGATGATGTGAAGATACAATAAAGGAATTAGTCTCAAATGGACTATGTTAATATAGTATCCCAAGATGCAATCAGAAATGTAGTTTTGAAATTATGTGGGATTTCAAATCCGGAATTGTAGTTTTAAACAGTCTGCATCGGCTTGGTTCTTGTTGCAAAAGTGGAGTCAGGTTTTGAACGCAGGGACACCTAATATTTTGATGCCATATTGGAAACCACTTTATGCAAAAAGCTTAAGCTCATGAGTAATGAAAAAATTTTACCGCACCACTAACAACTTTATCTTAGGTTTTTTTGTGTTCTAGTTGGGCTTAAAACTTATAGTAGCCATGATGTGTTCTCATTCACAGCAGTAACAGCTGCAATAACAAGTTTCTCCAATTGATTGGTCATCGTTGCAAAAGTGGTGTTAGATTTCTCTCCACCTTTTGTTTGAAATTCCATCCACTCCGATTCTTTTACAAGAATTTAGTACATATTAGCATCCAAGTGCTCGAATGCATGTGATTCATTCATTGCAATAAATACAACAACTTGTACCATCTTTGCAAACAGCTCAGCAGAAGCTGCTGCCCAGTTGGAGTGAAATAAACCGCAAAGACAATAAACTCATGAGTGCATGTGTCGATAATCATGTTGCAGAACAAAATAAAAGAAGACATGGTAAAACATAGACCCAACAGCTGAGAAAGAATTTATAATTTCAACTACAAATTCTCGGTACTTGACGATAGTAGTAGTTGTGGTGTACTTATTTTTATCAATAATGGAAAGATATAATCTCAATTAAGGGGTTGAAATACCATTAGTTATCTTGAAGGGGACACTAATATTCTGCAAGAAAGAAAATAGAGCCTTGCTTGTTACTCTTTTGATCAAAGCAAAGCGACAAAACCGGAGTAGTTTAAGTTAGCCAGTTTTATTCAAGCATTAACAAGTGTAGCAAAATTCATCCATATAGAGTTGCCTCAAAACTGAACTGCACCTTCTACATTAAAAAAAAGNATAAAGCCAGAGAAACTATGGCCTTTGCTGCAAGGACACCAAAGAATCATACATCATTCTCCGCATGCATCACATTGTATATATGATTCTTATCTGTTACAAAGTTCAAAACAATATTAGAGGGAAACATTAAAAAAATGGTGGGAGAGCTGGTATAAATCAATCTACATCTCACTTCACAAATGATTCTACATATCATAATCTGACACGTGTATAATGCCAATGTTCATGGCACCAAGAACAACATTAAGCTGTGACTTTAGGCCTCATTAGGAAGGGTACACAAATATTCTCTCGTTAATAGGCCAAAGAAACTTCCAAGTAACAAATTGTCCATAAAGATTTATGCAATCGAAGCAGGCAAGCACAAGAAACATCCAAATTCCCAAAGACCAAAAGGTCTAAAAGGTGTAAAAATGGAAAAAGTTGCATTATAGATTTGTTTTTTGGGTAATTATAGAAATTTAGCTGACAAGAATGTAAGTTTAGCTTGAGAGGCAAGCATTGCAGAAAATTTTCACATGGATCGATAAGTAGGATTTGATATGTCTATCTTAATGCAGAATTCATGAGCGACATTAAGGTAATATTCTCTAAAAATAGTAATTTTAGAACTTAGCATTGTAGGCATAGATAGTTGCACAAGAACAAGGATAAACAAAGGTGTGCCTTGAAGGTTGTCTGACTGATAAACACAGATCAGAACCTAGTTCAGTTAATGTTATTGGGTAAATGGTTTAACCAGTTCATATCTAAAACTGGGGCATGCCTTTTCTATATGAAATGACAAAAGACACCTTGTCGGCATTTCCCTTGTTTCATATGCTATTGCTACGAATGATTTTATCAATTTCTAGTTATATCCTGCGTTGCAACAATAGTGAGAAGTCTAGTATTTAGTTCATCAATAGCAGGTCATTTCCAGTTCTCGCCAATTTTTCAGACCAAAATTCCAAATCGACGATGGCAATTTTACTTTGAAAGAGACAAGTAACATCTAAGCATGGTTACACAAATATATATTTGAAATTTGAAGCACTCCAATTCAAGGAACAAACCTAATGATTTTTTTGAATTATACAATCAGGAGGGAAAAAAAAAGTACACAGAAGCTCAACCTTGTACACAGAAAAGATAAAGTGGAGGTCAGAAAGTTACCAAATTTCCTGTTTCAGATAAAAAGGCAAAACAATAATCTGAGAGCAAAGGATTTTTAATGTAATACAGAGTGAGTTTTTCGTCCCTCTTGTTTCTATTCTATGCAGGACCTAATTGCTATCCAATGGGTTGAAGTCGACCTTTCGTGTAAAAAGGTATGCTGATAGTAAAGTTAATAGCAACTATCTTGGTAAGGAGCCATGTTTAAGGAAGAAAGTCATATTTACAGTAAATCGTGCCGTATGGATGAAAGCTAGAATTTCAAACTTGGAGGCAGATCATCCTGGTTAACCCTTGAAAAAGGATTTCGTTATCAAATTTGAAGTGGTGATGTTGTCTTACAAAAATATCAAAAGCTCTCAGTTTAACCCATGATAAACAATGATGCTCATTTAGTTTAGTCTACATATTTTTGTCATCTCAGGGGTCCCAAATGAAAAAAGAGAAAAAGAAACATGTCTGGACCACCACAGATCCTTGAACAGTACTAGGCTGAAAGGGAGCCCCACAAAAATCATTTGCATACATTAGTCATGATGTTTAGGCTAGTACAATGAAGAGGCAAATCCTTCAAATTTATACTGGAATATATAGGAGAATGGAAGAACGGAAAGGAGATATTTACTGTAGAGAATTGCAATTAAATCTAAGGTATGTTAAAACCAAAAGTCCAAATAGAATGCAATACGCGGGCATAAACGTATTGGTTTTTAGGAGGAAAGGGGGAGGAAAATGGACACATCATCTAAAATTGCTGTCATCAGATGAAGGAACACATGCAAGAGAGAAATAAACCATTGGATTCTTCCAACCATGAGTTAGAGAAATCATAACAAAGTTAATAGCATTACTAATATTGGTCTTTTTAACATCAAACTGAAGATGCTAATAGACCAGAATTCAAAGGCAATACGGGCTGATGCTTGAGAAGATTTATGGATTTTTAGCAAATGGGTAAGAGCTTACATAAATGGATGCAACCAAATCTTCTAACAAAAGAAAACTATTTTTATGGATTAACCAAAATAAGTAATGTTTCCTTCAGTTCATGATTCTATATTTCACAGTAACACCAATTAGGATAAGTGCCATGATTAATTAACAACGAAAGGTGGAGTACAGTAGGCCTAAGAGAACTTGGTCGGAGGCAATTCAGAATGATATGATGATAATTAATTTAGTGTAGGAGATGTCCTTCAGCAGAACTGAATGAAGAATAGAAAACGTAGCAACCCCAAACTTTGCAGCAGAGCCTTTGTTCTTGGTTGTGGTGTTGGTTGTGTTTAGTTCGTAGTTCTATAGATACATACATAGAGCAGTGTAGAACTTCCATTACCTTTGGCTGAAGTCTTATCATACTTCTCTTTTCGCCCACTGTCATTTTTCCATTCGCTGTCATCATCGTCATCATCATCAGCTTCTCCCCTTCCATCATGTCCAATATCACTTTCGCTAGCAGTCTCCCACTCAGAGTCATCAGCCTCTTGGCCATAAACATCTCCACCATCACCCTCACATCGAACCCCTCCATGCTTCACAGCTGCTTCTCTAAATAACCAAGCAGCACGCATTTGCTTCTTCACTAACCTCTCAGCATAATCCGGAACCTTGTTTTGCTTCATAGTCAAGTCAGGATCATTTGATTGTGAACACTCATTTATGAACAAAATGGCATCTAACAAGCTCTCTTTTGCTAAACCGATCATATCATATGCTTGTGCTCTTCTCCAAAGGCTTTTTGCATGACGGTTAGGAGGATTATGAAGGGATAATGCTCTTGTAGCATCACTTATGGCAGCCAATGGTTGTTGGAGTAAAAGATGACATTGAGCTCGATTGCTGTATAATACTACTCTCTCTTTTTTGGATCTCATTGGACATAAAGACAATGCTTCAGAGTATTTCGATGCAGCTCCTGCTATATTTCCTGAGGAGAATAGAGAGTTTCCTTCCAGCTTGACAACAAGTGCGGCTGCCTGCTTTATATGTAGATCTTCCTTTGGCATGCTCTTTTCCCATTTGAACCGCTGTTTTGAACTTAAAAGTTCCACAATTTGCTCCTTTATATGACTACTGATGGCGTTGCGTTTTGTTTCTTGTGATTGGACACATTCTTGAAGGACATTAGCAATAGAGTCTCCTAACCTTTTATGATCACCAAGAGTTGAAATTTCTGCCAAGTCTATAAGAGCTGGCACTGCTTTATCTACCACCTAGAAAGCAACAAGTCAAAGATACCTCAGAAAGCAGAAACTACATTTTGTTTCTAAAACAAACAACTATATTTGAATTGTAAATAACTGAGATTGTGTAATATAACTTACAGGATGAACAGTCAGATTCAAATGGCTGTAATTTCCTATTCATTCAGGTGTTTAGAGGTTAAAGACATACTTGAAATCATCATGATTTAACTGTTAATATATTTTCATGAATTAAATCCTCAAGGGTAATTTGGCAGAGGAGCTTAGTGATACCGAGAAAGCTATTAACAAGTTTACTCAGACTGAACATCTTTTGCACACAAGTCATGTTTCATATCTACACCCTTGACCACACTTGAAAAATGAACATCCAATTCAGCTTCTTATAGCGACTCAACTAAAAATCAATTAGATGAAGGTACATAAAGTGATGACCCTCTGGTGTGAAGCATAAGGATTAGCAGATAAATCAAGTGCAGTATTGTGAAGAAAAAAGGTAAGGCATTAAGTTAATACCTTATGGCAGGTACTTGCATCCTGAAGCAACCATATAAGACAGTCAATAGCCATATACTGCCAATCATCTGAAGAACGGGCAATATTACACAAAGCTTCAATAACAGCAGGGCAGTTAGCAACAGGTCCCCTACCAAGCTTATGCTGGCATATTGTCCTTAGTAAACCAATACCTGCCGGTGAGTTTTCATTGACAAGTCCACCCCACATACTTGGCAATTTTACTAAAAACTCAGGCTTGCATATATCAGGAAGAAATTCAGGTTTGAAAGCAAAGCAATTAATCAGTTGAAGTGACCAGCATTGTAACTGGCTTGCCCATTCTTCTGCTTTCCTAGACTCCATTTCCATTCCTCCCATTCCTCGAGTAAGAAGATCACAATGGTAACCAAGTCTCCTATCCACAAACTGATAGAAGTGAGAATAAACAATCTCTAGAGAACTTAATGCAAGTTGAATGGAAAGCTCAAGTATTTCCCCGTGACTTGCCACTGCATCGAATGTACTTGGATATGTTGCTAAGTGCCCTAATGCTCTAACCGCTACTCTTTGCTCCACCCAAGTTAATCTACCTCTTAATAGCTCAACTAAGGGTGGAATAACACCAGCATGGACAGCACTTTCAGCGAATTCTTCCAAATTCATCGTATAAGATCCAATTATATGAGCTGCATAATAAGGGATATATATGTTCTGATCATGTGAAAGCCACCGCCGATTCTTTAATCCCTTCCATATTAAAGCCGCCATGCATTCAAAAATTCCTAGTTTAATGAATTCAGGGTCATTCGGATGAGCCATGGCAGTGTTCCAAAGGCCACTAATAGGGAGGACTTGACCATCATCATCCTGAGAAGGAAGCTCTCTGAAGAATTTGAGTATACTGGCTCTTCGCTTAGTAGGATTTCCCTCCTTCATTACACAAAAGAAGCATCCTGGGTAAGGGCAGTCAGCTTGGGCCTTTTCCATTGTGAGACAAGTTGCTTCAGCACATTTAGTTCATTTCCTTAGAGATGTGGAGCATCCACCCTCAATTCTGCAAAATTGAACCATATACATATATATGGTTACATGACATAAATAAGGTGAAGAAAAAATCGCGAAAAAATCAATGAGAATAAAATCAGAAAAGCACCTGTTATAACCTATAAAGTTTATAAATTATGAATTTGGAAGATAGACGATGAATCTCCACAGTAGGAAAAAAACACGCAGTTTCCAACAAACCAGTTGCCATATTCAAGCAGTGTTACTGTTATTATGTATATTCATACAAACCTTGGTGAAATAATAGAAAAGTGTCTATCAAAGCATTTTTTTGCTGAAAGTTTTACCACGATTCACACCAATCAATACTATTCCCCCCTGAGGGGGCTAAAGAAACTATGGACTACACGAGCATACAATCTAACATCAACAATAAAGTCAATAAAATAAATACGAAAAATATCTGTTTTAGTTTCAGTTATACATTGCTTAGTGCATATTACTTCCCCTTTTAGGTAACTGAAGAAATTATGTAGTACACAAGCATACAACTAAGATCAATAAAAAAAATCAAGTAAAACTTCTTTTTTTCTATTAAAAAAATGAGTAAAACAAGTAAAACTTCTGGTTTAGTTTCAGTTACATTGTTTAACATATACATAAATATTGTGAATTAAAGTTATATCTGCATAATGTGAAAAGACCATGAATAATGAGTAGATCAATGAGTTTCCACTCACAGCTACTTGCATACTAAATATGAAGTTCCACAGAAAGTATATAAGAGAAACCATGAAAACTGACATGAAACCGCTGAAATATTGTTCCTTGATATAACCGAATTCCTGTTTTCCACCCTTAGCTTGAGTTCAGTTGTTTTTAACTTGAATACAGTTTGCACTAACGCAGTTAAAACTGAGTGCAACCCCTCATTCAGATAACATTGACTCAAAAAAGATGGTAATCTTATGAAAGTTTCAGGAGGCATAGCTTACATATACAAAGATGTCACAAACGCCGAGATAAAGCAACTCCAATTAATCAAGCCTCCACTTAAACTCTTAAAAGCTTTGATTAGAAGGGACTAATAATGCAATCAGAAATTTAAAAAGAACAACTTCTTATAATTTGTTTACAAGGATCTGAACCATCCATGGATATCATAGCTACTCTTCATAAGTTAGGCCTAAACGTAGCATCTGATAACACAATAAAAACTCTTACTTGAGTGCAGTAGAGAAAAACATGTAATTTAAGAAGAATTATGAGGAATATAATTTAACTGTCCGCGATATGGAGTCAATCCGCCTCTCAACAGCCCACATATTATCCAGTAAACCATGATAAGTTGATAAAGTGATGATCAGAGAACACCAACAAACCACCTAGGTAACTAACTTATCAAGAGGCCTCTCTCAAAACTAATTTCTCAAGGCAAGGAACCAATAGTTGCCACGATTGTGGAAAACTTACAGGAAATCTTATGCATTTATATCAATGAAGCATGAGATCGCATTACAATGAGCCCAGTATGCCATGGTGAAACTAAATGCCGCACAAAAAAAACAAAAATGACAGATGAAATGCTGATAATCGTGCAACACAATTCATCAGTAATCCTTTAGAAACATAATCGATATTAAATTTTCGCAAATACCAGAATTTAAAGCTCCAATGCCACCAATGCAGAAATATATCTACAACTCTGATCAATGCAAACACTTTTTGCAACGAACATAAAGAAAGATTCCACCTTTTTCAACGAAAAGAAACCCTAAGGGCTCAAACCAAAAAAACCCATAAAAAAGGTGCGGTCTTTCTCAAAGAGAAGAGTTCAGAATCGAAAAGGAACTGAACCCATCAGATCAAAGTAGGAGAAAATGAGGAGAAAGAGAGATACCTTGGAGAATCAAGTAGAGCGGCTGCTTGCTGAGATTAGGGAGCCCCAAATCAATCTAGGGCGTAGAAAAGCGATGGAGAAAGCTCAGTATCTTTCCAAATTGAGAGAGAGAGAGAGAGAGAGAGAGAGAGGAGATGGGGTACTACTTGGAATCTGACAGAGCAAGAGAGATTGGAACTCGCTGTCGTCGCTTGGGTTTTTGCCCTTTTCTTTTCCCATCTTTTCTCTGTTTGGGCTACTTTTATGGGGACGTTTGGTTGAATTTCTATAAATTATAGGAAATGTTTTCCATCCAAAATTTGATTTTCTTGTATTTCTTAAAAAAATTATAGGAAAAGTTTTGAGAAGTTAAAAAGTACAAATTTTTTTTATTTTTTGTATTGTGCTTGTTTGGTTCAAAACAAGAAAATTACTCATAACTTTTGGGAAAATAGCAATTTGTATTGTGCTTGTTTGGTTCAAAACAAGAAAATTACTCATAACTTTTGGGAAAATAGCAACATTTCTTATAATTTATAGAAATGTAACCAAACACCCCCAACTTTATAGAAAAATGAGAACTTTATAAAAAAGTGTTAATGAGTTTTATTATTTAAATAATGAATGCGTCAGATTTCCAAGAGATTTCCGTCCATTTTAGAATGAAATCAATTTCTATAAATTTTGGTACTTTTCTATACTTTACAGAAAATATTTCTGTAAATTTTTTTTTGAGCCAAACACAGTTTGTGGAAAATCTATAGAAAACTCTTAATTACAGAAATACCATTGTTTGTACTTTTTGAGAAAACATTTCTCAAAAACAATGCAACCAAACACCCCTATCAGTCCCTGATATCTTCAATAATTCCATATTAATCCCTCGAATCTCAATAATTGCTCATTAGACACTCAAATCTTAAGGGGTCTTGCAATTTGGTCCATCAATGACCGAAATACACCTTAGCTATGATTTCTATCTTAAAATTCACCTTCTTCAAAAAAAATCATTTGTACGTTGCTGTCTTAAAATTTACACATTTTTAACTTTAAAATCTCAAACTTTTTTGGACGCTTTGATACACTAAAGTTTACACCTTTTTAATTTTGGCACCTTAAAATTTATTTGGCACTTTATTTAAGAAAAACTTTATACTTTTTTAAGTTTAAAGTTTTGGCACTTTGATATCCCTTGAGAGTATCGAAGTCGAAAAATGTGTAAACTTTCAGGTATGTGTAAATTCTGGAGTGCCAACGTATTAAAAAGAAAAGGTTTGGATAAAGAAGTTAAAAAGTGTAAAGTTTAGGGTACCAAGCGTCATAGAGGCTTGAAAAGCTATAAACTTGTAGAGTGTTAAGTTGCAAACAACCCTTTTAAAAAAACATTAGTTGGGAATTTTTTAGTCATTGAGGGATCAAGCCGCAATAACACTAGGGTCGGAGGCACTGATGAGCAATTTTATAAATTTGAGGAATTAATATGAAATTATAGAATAACTGAGTGACTGAAAACTAAATAACCCTTGGCCAAGAGGGCTTAGCCCTGTAAATGGTAACGGGCTGCAGGTCCCGACCTGGTCCATTTCCGCAGCCTGTCTCGTCAAGGAAACCGAATTATTATTTTTAATATAAATAGCAAAAAAGAACACAAAATTCCACTAGAGCTCTACTAAAGAGTTTTGAATTACACAAAAAAAAAATTAAAAATTCGATTACATGAAACTCTCGATAAGTTTGACCAATTATGAGATAACCTCTAACAAGTATAGAAAATATTATTTTAATTCCCAATATTTTTTAGGTAACCTCAAAAATTGGAGGGTTATATATACATTCAGAAAAATGCAAAGACTATGTGGGTTAAATGACTTCCAGATGTTTTCGGAATTCGGAATATCTAAAAATGGACTAGAACTTCCTAGATTTTGTGAGGCCAAGAAGTGGGCTCGCTCTCCTTTGTTTTTTTGGAATAGGTTACGTGGCCGGACTTCCCGAGGCCTGGCAACAAAAACTTAGCGGCCCATGCAAATTCAAACCCGTGTTGCTGGTCTACAACTGATTCGGCCCAATTTATGGTTTTTCGAGTCCGCAAATAGTCGTGAATGATACCCGCTAAAACCTTCAAATCTACGTTATTGATAATAAAATTTCAAGCCTCTCTTGTTGCTTCATAAAACCGTTTCACAAGTTTCTTGTGAAGATGGCTTTGCGTTACTTTTTGAAGATAAAATGCTGGCCTCTACTATTTTTTTATGCTGGGATTAATAAATTAAAGATCTTGACATAGTTTTAATCAAGCACGTTTAGTTTTATTCAAGAGACTTCTATAATCAAGAATAAGGAGATGGCTCCCTCTGCTGTGGGGGGGATCGGGGAGATTCGAACCGTGGTCTCCGCCAGACCCAAAAGGAATGCGCTGAGTAACTGACCAAGTTTCTCTTATCAAAAAAAAAAAAAAAAAGGAGAGACCCAAGTCATCTATTGGTTTTGTGCAGGTCAAAGACTAGGAGTAATTGACCCAAGTCAACCCAGCAGTAAATAGGAGTTGACTCGTCGGCATTGATTTGGATTGACCTTAGATTCCGTTTACTCGTTTATTGAGAAATGTAAATCAGCAAGGAGAGTTGACTTTTTGGTATAGACACTTAGATGAAGGATGAAGCTATGGGCTGGCGCTGGCATACATTCCGATGGGCCCTCTGTGGCCTGTTTTGCCTATTCATCATTAAATGATTTCTCACTAACAATTGATCCCATTCCCAAAAAAAAAATAGTAATAATAAAAAGAAGAAATTTTTTAAAATAGCTCCAAATCAAAATTTTTTTCTAAAAATCGATATTCTTATGTTTTTATTACAGAAACAGACTCACTGAAAGTGGGTCTATTTTTTTTGCCAGAAAGTGAGCATGTTTTGCCAGAAAATGGGCATATTTTTTTTTTAAACACGTTCCTAATTAGTCGAGATTGCCAACCCCAGCTAATTTAGTCCTCAGTTACAACTTGCAAATTAGTCGGGGTTGGCAACCCCGACTAATTAGGAAGGTGTTTAAAAAAAAATAGACTCACTTTTTGGCCACGGTGCTGACGTGGTCAGAAAATGAGTCTGTTTCTGTAATAAAAACGAAAGAGGGTTTATTTTAAAAAAAAGTTGGTTTGGAGCTATTTTAAAAATTTCTTCATAATAAAAATAAAAATAAACTACAGTTGATTTCGGGTACAATCAGATACGAGACACAATAACTCCGTGTGTGTTTGGATACCAAGGCGATTTTTTTGTAGTGTTTTTTAGAAAAACACCATGCTGAAAAAGTGTTTTGAAAACACCATTATTAGTTACTATTATATAGCGGCGGTGGAGGGCGGGTTGGTCGGCGGCCGGAACGCGGGCGCGGGCGGGGGGTGCGGGCCGGAGGGTGGCGGCGGTCGGGCCAATGGCGGCGGTCGGCAATGGCGGCGCGGCGGGCGGGAGGCCGCGAGGGATGCGCGGCGCGGCGGCGGGCGAGAGTAGCAGCAGACGGCGGGTGCTGGCGCGACAGGCGGTCGCGGCGACGGGCGACGGGCGAGTGAGCGGCGGCAGGCCGGGGTGCGGCCAACCTGCCGCGCGACGGGTTGCGCAGACCCGCCCGCGGCGTGGTGGCGGCGGGGGCGGGGGCGGGCGGCAGCGGCAGCGGCTGGGGACGAAGGCGGGGGGGTGGCGGCGGGCCGGTGGCGTGGGCAAGCGAGCGGCGGCGGCTTAGATGAAAAAAACGGAATCTCAAAACACCTTTTTGGTATTTTGAGAAAAATGTTTAATTTTTGGATTTTGTAAAGGGTCAAGTCAAAAAAACGTCCCGGTTGTCAAACGAGTTTCATTGTTTTTTTTGAAAAAAAAAACGGAAACGGCAAAAACACCATGGTATCCAAACGCTCCCTTGGACCAATATCGAATCAGGTTGCAATGTAGTCAATTTTTGTAAATGAAGCATCCGAGTTGTAAACTACACGTCATCTGTACATTGTTGAACACTGGACAGCAGTTTCTCGTGCGATGGATAGAGACTTGAGGTGTCTCCTTTCTCGCAGTAAACCCCCATTAACTATTGCAATAGCAACAAGGTCCTGCATTTTGCAGAATTACCCCCATGATGGTGTAAGAGCATCTCCAACAGCTTCCCCATCTTTTTGAAATACTCAAATTTAGAGAATATAGAGCTTTTTTTTGGTCCAACAGATTCTCCATCTCATTCCCCAAAATAGGGAAGGAGGAGAAAAAATAGGGAGCCTTCCCCAAATCTGTAGCATTCTCCAAATTTTTGGGGAGAGCTTTATTATTGTAATAAATGCTATTTTTCAAAATGGGGAAGCTGTTGGAGTTGGAGCAAAAATAATTTGGAGAATATGACTTTTGTTTCTCCATTTTGGAGAAAATTTTGGGGAAGCTGTTGGAGATGCTCTAAGTCCGCATTTTGACTTGGTGACATATTTTAGATGCTCATGGGAGTCATCTGCAAATTGCGAAAACTTATTGGGGGACCATTCTTCAATTCTAATAGTTAATATGTTTTAGTGTAATTTACCCCCGTATAATATTACTATTAAACCATACATGTCCACTGGACACATATTTAATTTTGCGTGATTCAGATTTCAACCCGTGAAAAAAACATTGCACATGTGAAAAATTTTAGAATATAAATTATTACCCTTAGCCTTATCAAAATTTTAAAGATTTGGTACATTGAAAGAACCTTTAATAATTATGAACTGTACTATTAGTTGATATTTAGAAAAGGAAGATCTCAATAACTTTAGATATAAATTAACTAGTTTGATTCCAAAAGTGATTTTTTTTCGCCTTTTTTTATTTTTTGTGGCTTCAGAACGATGAATGGAGAAGATCCAAATTCAACAAACATATACGAACCCTTGATTTGGGCAGTAAATTGAGCGGCAAGGTTGTTAGCTATATTAATGAGATTTTGGATGCTACTAGATCTGAAAAATTAATTTAAGTTAATCTCACCGTGAATTGAGGCAGATTTCGAGGAGAGAGAGAGAGGAGGTTTAAGGTGAGTAATGAGGGATCCACACGCGAGCATGAACAAGAGTTGGGTTCTGGTCCTTTTCACATTTATGACGCAAGTTCGTTAAATCTCCACTAATAATTGTATTTTCAAAGATTTGTAAATTAACATAGTTTGGCCTCCTCTGTAAAAGTCCAAATCTTTGTGAACCGGAGTCAAAATAATAAT